TCTCTCACGTAGTAATGAGCCGCGAAAATCTGAGCGCGATCCTTCCCAAGAACGTCTTCGATCTGTGAGTCATTTGTTAGCTATCCTTACGTCAAACTGCAAGATTTCTTACTTCTTTGGCAGTCCAGACGTAGAATGCGCCTTCTTTCTTCTTTGAGGATCCGCTTGGTTCTAGACTGTCCGCATCTTCAGCAGAAAATATGCCACCCTCAGGGTGTGTCATGTCCCGGTTCAAGTAGTCCAAGATATCTCTTGCAACGCAGGCATGCATCGTATCTCTCGTGACGAGGTAGACGTCAAGGTAGGCATTTGCAAGCTGAGCCTGGTCATAGAGCATCTTTTCGAAATGTGGGACTGTCATAACCAAGCAACCCGATATCGCTTCGATGAAGAAAACAAAATGATTTGATGCTTACCATGCCAGTAATCATCAACGCTATATCTGTGGAATCCTCCTCCAACATGATCGTGCATTCCTCCCCGCGCCATGCATTGAAGATTAAAACTTGCCATTTCCAAAGCCTTTTTGGAGAGGCTTGCTTTGCCAGCTTGATCCAGACGCTTATAATACCGAAGCATCAAGTTCAGCTCCACCGGCCTGGGAAACTTTGGTGCACTACCAAACCCGCCGAGCTTGGCATCAAAACCTTTCATGAGCTGCAAACGCAGATCCGAGAGACGTTAATAATGTTAGCAAAGAACATAAGCTCAAACCTCAAACTACCTGACTCGCACAGAGCTGGACAGCTTGCTCCGCCACACCACCTGAAACTTGAAGAGACGTTGCACACGCGGCCATTGCCTCTGCAAGCTGCTGAATGACATTGTCCCCAGCGTTTCGAAGCACGGCTTTCCTCGAGTCCCAGTTCTCCTTCACTCGCCTGCAGCGGCAAGATTCCAGCTTCCAAATGTATAAGTGCTAGCTAGCTAGAGACCAGCTACCTTAAAACTGTCTTAAATCCTGGACGACCGTAATTATCCTCGGGAGGGAAGTACGTTCCTCCCACGATGGGCTTGAGCTCCGGCGTAAGAAAGACGCTCATAGGCCAGCCTCCTCCACCTTGTGAAGCTTGGACGAATGTCATGTAGACCTGCATGAAAGCATTCACAAGGTATACGGGCATGAAGACGAAAAAAAACCTTATCAACGTCGGGCCTCTCTTCCCGGTCGACTTTGATGCTCACAAACCAGTCATTGAGCAATTTGGCGACCTCTTCGCTCTCGAACGATTCCACTTCCATTACATGACACCTACAAAAGAAGTTCTCAGTCAGTTCTCTTATGCCGGAGAAAGAAAGGAGAAAAACACTCGAGCGCAGTACCAGTGACAAGTGCTGTATCCGACTGCAAGCCCTTTTTGTTAGGAAGCAGAAGACACACGCAGTAGCATACCTGATAGGAAAATCGGCTTGTCTTCTGCCTTGGCCTTGGCAAACGCTTCTTCTCCCCATGGATACCAATCCACCTACATGCACACAAGACTAGATCATCATAAAAACGAAAACAAGAACAGAAGAGAAAACAAAATTGGAGGGAGCGAGCTATACTGGATTGTGTGCATGCTGGAGAAGATACGGGCTGTTTTCATGGAGGAGGCGATTGGAATGCTTGTGCTTGTCTCCCGAGCCAGCCGCAGTGGCACTGCTAGCGCTGTGCTTATCGGCCATAGCATCTGGCCCTGCAGCTCTGGCGACCGTGCGCGCAAAGGCAAACGCGGGAGGCTTCCTCTTTTTCGCCTGCAAAGAGGACCGAGCAGGGGCAGCAGGCCTGAAGAAGGAGGCGGCGGCGGCGGCCAGGGGCAGGTGTCGCAACCGGAACATGCCGCATAAATACCAGCTGCTACCAAACAGGAAACAAAAAATGTCGGGTGCCACTCACCTGGATCCAACTGCCAGTCGACTATCCCTCGCTCGCGCACGCACGAACCCTAATAGAAGACGAGTTTCTTAGCTCATCGTTTCTTCTAAATCTTTACAGGCGAGCCTGTAGTTGGATGGATTGCCACCAACACCTTCCACCTTCATCCACAGCTCTGGCGGTGAACAAAAGAAAAAAATGTGTCGTTTCTTTCATCACACTTACAACTTACAGCTTCTATAGTTTTTTCTTCCGAGGATAAACGTCTAGACAATGAATGGGGTATATTGATGACTAGAATTTAATCTCCTCCGCCTCCGCTGCCTCCTCCCCCTTGATTTAGAACACCAGGCATTTGATGACTGCGTTCTCCAGTGCGGAAGCCAGGCATGACAGTGAATCCCACCGTGTGCAAGTCCCCGCCCCCGCCACCTTCGAGATCCACAACGCTCTCCATGAACTCGCTCTGGAAACTCGTGTCCTTCTTCACCTGGAAGATGCTGGCGGTGGGGTTGAAGGAGAAGGCGAGGCGATGGAGCAGCCACACGCTCTTGGCCAGCTCCAAGAACCTGTGATAAAACTGGCTGCTCGGGTGCTCGCCGCCCAGCACCTGGTTCCTGTGTTGCAGATGCCCGAAGAAGGACTCCTCCATCTTCTCGTGCACGATCTGGAGGTACTTCCGCAGGCAGAACTTGCCAAAGAGGCAGTCGGGCGTGGTGGAGACGAGCTCCAGCGGATCGATGGAGCGCATGTCCTGGAACTGCAAGAAGCAGTCGTGGCGGTGCTTGCCGGGGTCGAGGATGGACGACAAGCTGCCGCTGAGATAAAAGTTTTCGTTCTCGAAGCCATTGAACATCCTCTGGCAGACGTAGGACTCGAATGCAAACCTGGTGTGGATTGGCCTGGCGTAGACGGCGCCCGGCTGGATCGAGTTTGCGGCGGCCTCCAGGTCCCAGTCGGCATTCTTGAGCAGTCCGATGAACATCTTTGCGAAGCTAAACGCCTCGCCGCGAGCAGCTTGAGCCATCTGCTCGAAGAGCGGGGGAGCAAGCGAGACGTTGCCGTTCATCATGCCCGCACCGCCGCCACCTCCACCACCTCGAGGGAGCTCGTTGAGCCGCCTCTCCAGCTTCTCCTTCTTGCTCGTCGCCCGCCTGAGCGACTCCTTGAGGCGCTCCATCTCCTCGTGCTGCTCCGCCAGCTCCTTCTCGCAAGCTTGCATGCGGCTGTCGTAGGAATCGATGATGGACTGCTTCTCCTTGAGGCCCGCCTGGAGCTCCTCCACAAGCTTGCGATCGTTGCTGTTGGCGGAGGCGGCGGCAGCTTGGTGGAGGAGGTAGTGACCCCCGCCGCCACCACCACCACCACCCCGGCTCCTCCCCTTGAGCATGTGTTTGATCTCCGAGAGCCTGCGCAGCTCGCCAATGACCAACCTGTCGGCGGCGCGCAGCTTATCCGCATTGTAGGGAGAGTGCGCCGACTGGAGCTGGATGTAGGCGTTCTTGAGCGCCGAGACGGTGCCGAAGATATCCACAATCACATTCTCCATCAACTGGACTCTCTGGTACAGCCTCTCCACCTCCTCGCCTTGCGCCTCCTCCGCCTCGTGGAAGCACTCCTCGGCGCCGCTGCCATTCCCATCCTCCTCGCTCCGTTGCGCCATGCCCTAGGTCTAGCCACAAATCCCGAGCTCGCGCTCACCTCGCTAGATCCACTCCGACTGCTACTCACTCACCCGCGGCCCATCAATTGGCGAGCAAGCAAGAATGATGGATCTGTCCATCATTCCTGGAGGGCAGAGGAAGCGATTGCGTGCGCCCTAGGCCTATGCGAGACGAGGAGGAGAGGATGAGAAGCAAGCAAGCCCCTTGTGCCATTATTCCACTCCCCTGCACGCACTTAGTACTTACTACTCTTTCCTTTTAATTTTTTTTTTTTTTCTTTGCTCGTCTCGTCGCTCCCCTTCTACCTAAGAGGACAACGACAACAAACAGCGATGATATTACTTTTACGAGCTTTTGTTTTCAGTGGAGGGGTCGCCCGCCTCCCCACCTTTGTTAGCTCGGTGATTCCAAAAGAGAGAAAGAAAGAAAGGAACGCGCCTGGCCTACATTGTGAGCGCATTCTCCATGGAGCTCGCAAACGTGAGCAAAGGAGACGGGGAGTCGAAGCCATGGCCGCCGCCGCCGCCGCCACCAAGCATCGGCGAACTCAAGCTCGACTCGGACGCGGTGGCCACGGCCTCGAGCATCTTGATCACGTCCACCGTGTCGTCCAGGTAGTAGCGGGCTTTGCTCGGCTTCTGCCCCACCGTGCATGCAAACACCTCCGCCGACGACGACGAGATGGCGTGCCCCAGCTTCTCAAACATGTCCTCGTCCGACCGGTCGTCTCCGATGCACAGGACGAAGTCGGGTGACTTGCCCGTCTGTGCGAGCGACGATAGCAAGCGCTCCACCACCACGCCTTTGCTCACTCCCTGGAAGGAAAACAGACAAAGCTCTTTACAACTCCGCCCAAACCCGTGAACAAGATAAGACTTTGCGTACCTGTGGCTTCACTTCCACGATAAACTGGCCGCTCTTGACGGACACCGGATCATTGGCGAGGACGCTCTCCAGGTGATCCAGCAGCTCCTTGGCTTGCCACGATCCAAAGTCGGGGTCGGCGTCCCGGTGGTGCCACACGAGAGCGCTCTCCTTGGCCTCGATGTAGGATCCATCCGTGCTGTCCATGTACTGCCTCATCACCGGAAGTGCTACGTGCTTCCACTCGAAGTCGGGCACCGGCACGCACGCCTGCCAATCCTCGTCTCTGGACCACCTGCGACAAGCAGCACTTGCTTTGAATATCTCGAAAGAGAGGAAAGCGAGAGAAAGTAAACGAACGTACCTGTAGAAGTAGCCGTGCTCGGCCGCCAGCCCAAGCTTATCGCACTGGGAGAACCACTTATGGAGAATCTGTCTGTCACGTCCACTAACGATGAACACCACGTTCTTGGGATTGCTACACAGCGTGTTGAGGATGGAGATGACCTCGGGGCTGGGAGTCTTGTTCACCGACGTCTGCGGCATCATGGTTCCATCGTAGTCGAGCAGGATCGCCCGGCAGGAGCTCCTCCTGTACACGGACACGAGGTGCTCGGTCATGAGCCTCCGGAAGTTTGGATCCAGCGCCACCACCCGGAAGCCCAGCCCGAACCCGATCCCGTAGGACCTCCTCCGCGAGTGATCCCGGCAAGCTCTCTCCAGGTCCGCCATGAAGCTCTGCGCCCAGTACGCAACGTCGTGCGAGCTCACGTACTTGAAGTGCTTCTCGTGCCTGGCGTGCTTCTCGGCCTCGGGCATGCTGACCGCCATTATCATCGCCTCGGCCACAGCCTCGATGTTCCAGGGGTTGACGCGGATGGCCCCGCTCAGCGACGGCGAGCAGCCGATGAACTCCGACACCACCAGCATGCTCTTCTTCTTGGGCTTGTCACTGTCCTCCACTGTAATAACCCCGATGCGGCCAAGTCCATCATCGGCTTCGTGCTCGTCACCTTCTTCGCCCATGCCTTGTCGGCAGACGATATACTCGTAAGGGATGAGGTTCATGCCGTCGCGGACGGCCGTGACAATGCAGCACTCGGCGATGGTGTAGTAAGCGATCCGCTCGTACAGCGGCATGTCCCTCTCGATGAGAACCACCGGCTGGTAGCCTTCGCGGCCGTAGGCCTGGTTCACCCGCTTCGCCACCGCGTAAGCCTCGTGCTGGACCTCGAGAACGTCCTTGCCCCGCCCCCTGGCCGGGTTCCCAATCTGGACGAGCACCAACTTTCCTCTATACTCGGGGTGCTGGTTGAGCAGCTCCTCCATAGCCAGGAACTTGAGGCCGATCCCCTTGAATATGTCCATGTCGTCCATGCCCAGCAGCACGATCTTCCCCGCAAACTGGACGCTGAGCTCCTCCACCCGGCCGTTGGTCTGCTGGAGCTTGAGCCCGGCCTCGAGCTGCGACATGTGGATGCCAACCGGCATGATCTTGATGCCCACCGTGCGGCCGTAGTACTCGAGGCCGATGTATCCCCTCCGCGACTCAAACTCGAGGCCCAGCATCCGGCTGCAGCACGAGAGGAAGTGGCGGGCGTAGTCGAAGGTGTGGAAGCCGATGAGGTCGGCGTTGAGGAGCGCCCGGAGGATCTGCTCGCGGACGGGCAGCGTGCGGTAGATCTCCGACGAGGGGAAGGGGCTGTGGAGGAAGAAGCCCAGCTTGATCCTGTTGAAGCGCTTGCGCAAAAAGGTTGGCAGCACCATGAGGTGGTAGTCGTGCAGCCACACGAAATCCTCCTCGGGGCTGATCACCTCCATCACCTTGTCCGCAAAGATCTTGTTGGCGGAGACGTAGGCCTGCCACAGGAGGCGGTCGAAGCGGCCGCCGGGGTCCGTGGTGAGCGGCAGCATGTAGTGGAAGAGCGGCCATAGCTGCTGCTTGCAAAACCCGTGGTAGAAGCGGCCGTGGAGATCCGGCGGCAGGAAGGCGGGCACGCAGTTGAAATCGCGGAGGAGGATGGCGGCCACCTCGTCCTGCTCGCTCATGGGCACGTCCACGCGCAGGCAGCCGACGTACACCACCTCGAGCTCCTCGGGGAGCCCATCCTTGAGCTGCAACAGCAGCGAATCGTCATCCCACCTGAAATTCCAGAGGAGATTGTCGGGGCGGCGCTCGCCGTGGAGGGGCAGCTGGTGGGCGACGATGATCACCCGGCTGCTGTGCGAGATGGAGGCCGCCTCGGACGCGCTGTCGTCCTCGATGATCCGGCTGTCGCTGCACAGCCCCGCCACCGTCATGACGCGCGGCAATCGTCGGCCCCGGGGCGACGCCGTGCCCTCTGCCGGGGACGATAGATCCAGCAAATTGGAGTAAGATCTGGACACCATGGCTGCTATATGGCTGCCACAAACCTCACCCCCTCGCCAAATATAGGTCTATCATATGCTTCTTCCTCTCAGTGCCATTGATAAGCTAAGCATATCCAGACATCAAATTCTTGCCTGATTGATTCGTCCGTCTCCTCCCCCTCGAATCGCTACCTCACCTTACGTAACGCATTTGACACAAACAAAACATCTCCTCTAAGACTTGCGCTGTTCCAATGATTCCGCAATGTCTTTTCAGCTCAACCCGTCCGTGGTTGTGGCGCTCGTCACTGTTAGTTTAGTCACCAGCAATGCTACGGTGGACTCGCGTTCGTGCTCAAAACAGCGTGCTCCTGCCAGGAAAAGATCAAGCACACGTCTGCCAGTTAATAGTTTACTCGACAGACAGGCAGACAGCAAACACAAAAGAAAGATTCATTCTCACCTCGAAGCCCCCGCTGCATCGGTTGCTCGCAACTGTCGAGACGACGATAACGCTTTGTCAATTCGGACCTCGAACGGTGTAGAGTGCCAGGTGACCCGCTGATCCTGATGTCACGTCCACGACATGAGAAAGAGAAAAACGAGCAACCAACGAGAAAATATCTACCTCTTTGTATTTCCGGGTGGTGTTTGGAATTCCCTGCCCGTCCCAGAGTTTGGGAGTTGCGTCCGCCTCCGCCTCCGCCTCGGCCGAACTTGTCTCGTCATCCCAGCGCGAAGTTGGTCTCAGCTGTGGAGTGATCTGCGTGGAGCCCCACTGCAGCTCCGAAAAGAAAGAGTAGTTCTCCGATTCGATCTCCAGCTCGTTGGATCCACTGCTTGTTGTTGGTGATACTTTGTCTTCGTGAAAATCGTCTTCCTTTTCTTCCACCCGCTTGTTCTTGTGCCATGCCTCTTCTTTCAGCTGTCGCCATTGCAGTACGTTTCCAACGGGTGTCAGCACGGAAGTTTGGTGATCCTGGCGCTTCTCCGCCTCCATCGGGGTTTTGCATGCAAAGATATTTTCCTTGTCCTTGGATCCATCACTCCGAGCTTCGACTGTTTTCCTCTCCACAACGGGTGACATGCACCGAACGGGTGTTATTTCCACGTCGCTGCCTTCGCTCCTGAGACCCTCAAGCACTTCACTGGAGGACGGAGCCTCTGACTGCGATCTTCTGCTGCAGTCGGAATTGATGCTCACGTTTGCCTGTGAAGGAAAGCTTCCTTCCTCTTCGGAAGAGATGCTGGACTCTGCTTCGGCAACTGGTGAAAGTGGCTCTTGCCACATGAATGACCGGTGTGCAAAGCTTCTCTTCTTGGGAAGCATGAAGAATACGGCCGTTTTCGGAAGACAGACGAGCGAAACCTGTTCCGGCACTGGCTTCGGGTTTGGTTCTGCCGTGCCTGCGGCCAGTGCAGCCTGTGTGTTTTTGTCCTTCATCCCTTCTGGCACTGTCCCCGCTTCGACATTGTTTGACGGAGGCGGAAGGCTAACAAACCACAAAAGTTAAAATGAATGAATGGAGAGCTCGAAAAACTTGCAAACCTTGCGGAAGTTGATACTGGTGAATCCTCCGGCGACGAATCCCATCTTGGTGCCTCCAGAGGAGCTTTAGAGACCTTTAGAGGTTCATGTGGAGTTTCTAAGGATATGACGCACGACCGAAACTGAGAGACCTGCGTGTCAAGCTCGCAGGAAGAAAATGAGGGGGATGTACCTCTTCCTTCAAAAACTTGGCTTGATCAGCTTCCAGCACACTCTGCAAGGGGCGATCTCTGATACGCAAGTGTTGGAGTCCATTGCTGTCCACACTGAGGCATTCACCTGAGAAGACACCGCCATTAAGCTACCAGAAACATAAAAAAGCTCACCACTTCTCAGCCAGGGATTTCCTCCAGCAGCAGTAGCAAACGAGGGCGTGAGCTGTGACGACTGGGCATGCTGCTGCTACAAACGTGAGCACATTGAAGAGGAAAAGGGCAGAAAGGGGAGAACTTACTGTGGATTTATGGCCGCGACTAGTCCGTGAGCAGAGCCTTGGCAATCTTTCCTTCCTCCCTCCGCCGCATCCAAAGCATCCAAACAGCCAGCCCATGGCGCTGATCCAGGCGCTAGGAGAAAACCCACATCTCAATCTCAGCCAAGCGAGAGCGCAGTTTGAAAAGAGCCGTTGCGGGGGAAAAAGAATTCCAGGAAGAAAGTGACCTAGCTTATGCTCTAGGGCACGGATGAGGAGGACATTCCCCACAGCCCTAGGAGGAGGTAGAGCGTCCCCGCCGCGGCCCATCGCCAGGGCTCCCCATTTCCAGCGTTCATGCCACCGCCAGCAGCAGGAATGCTGCACCATGGAGGCGGCGGAGATTGCGAGTGTGATCAAGTATCACGAGGCGACCAAGCATTCTCTAACAAGGTATGCTCGCGGCCCGCGTGGCCTGGATTGGATCAACCAGCCCGATCCATTTAGGCGCTACCAGGGAGCTCAATTGGCGCCCCTGGATCATCTCCCGCCGGACGAACAAGCAAAAGAGGACGCTCCTCTTTCGTATCCCAGTGTCTTCAAGCTCGCGGTTGCTCCAAGGCCTGTTACCAAGCGGACGCTCTCGCAACTGCTTTACGATTCTCTGGCGCTCTCCGCGTGGAAATCAGCAGGGGGATCGACATGGTCGCTCCGTGTGAATCCCAGCAGTGGAAATCTCCACCCCACCGAAGGATATGTTATCAGTGGTCCGGTTACTGGCGTGTGTGACTCGCCATTCATTGCTCACTACGCGCCCAAGGAGCACGCATTGGAGATTCGAGCACAGATGCCTCCGTCAACTTGGAAGGAGCTCTCCATGGATTTCCCGCCGGGTTCTTTTTTCGTCGGCCTGTCCTCCATCTTCTGGAGAGAAGCTTGGAAGTATGGGGAGAGAGCATTCAGGTACTGCAACCACGACGTCGGGCATGCTATAGGAGCCGTGGCCATTGCGGCGGCAACACTTGGCTGGAAGACGAAGCTTGTCGACTCGTGGAGTTCCAGCGACTTGCGACTTTTGTTGGGATTGCCTCGAGATGACGCGTCGGCCTCGGACAGCAGTGATGTTGCCAAAGGACACTTTCCGGAGCTAGAGAACGAGCATGGAGACTGCGTCATGCTTTTGTTTCCGAGCGACAAGGCAGTTCCCTCCAACTGGTCTCCGTCTACAGAGCTCGTCTGTCAGCTTTCCAAACTGGCTTGGAATGGCAAGCCCAACTCGCTGAGCCGAGAACACGTTCGCTGGGAAATCATTTATCGGGCAGCACAGGCAGCCAAGAAGCCAGCGCTCGCAGAGTCGTCGTCAACTGGCTTCATGGAGGCGAGCCGCGAGCAGACAAGCCGAGAAACTTGCTTTCGACAGTTTGCTTCGTCATACGGCCGGGCTACTATCCGTCATGTTGTCCGGACACGCAGGAGTGCAGTCAGCATGGATGGTCAATACGGCATGCACAGAGACGCTTTCTACCAGATTTTACTCAAAACAATGCCCTGTCTAGGGACGCATAAGCAGCTACCATTCTCATCGCTTCCCTGGGAAGCAGAGGTGAGCATGGCGTTGTTTGTTCACAGAGTTGCCGAGATGAAGCAGGGCCTTTACTTACTCATCAGAAATCCTTTGCACGAAGAAGATTATAGAGCGGACTTGAGGCAAGATTTTGTGTGGGAAAAACCAGCAGGATGCCCGTCAGAGCTTCCACTTTATCTTCTTGCGAGAGGAGACTGTCGGAGCATTGCCGAGCGACTGTCTTGCCACCAGGTGAGATTTATTTATTTTATTCTCTTTCTTTCTTTTCTCTTTTTTACTGATGAATATGTTGGCTTTTAGGATATTGCGGGCGATGGATGCTTCAGCCTCGGAATGGTGGCAAGATTTGAGGATTCTCTCAAAGAGCATGGTGCTTGGATGTATCCGCGGCTCTTTTGGGAAGCTGGCTTGCTTGGTCAGTTGCTCTATCTTGAAGCACACGCAGTTGGCATATCCGCGACTGGTATTGGATGCTACTTCGATGATTCTGGTATGTGACATGCTTTGGTTCATCTTACTGAGAATCTCTCTCACAAACAGTGCATCAAGTACTCGGCATCAAGGACAGAAAATTCCAGAGTCTCTACCATTTTACGATTGGAGTGCCCGTTTTGGATACGCGCATTTCGAGCCTGCCTGCATACCCATCCACGAAATCGAAGACGAACTAGCGGATAGAGTCAATAGGTATATATAAAAGCTCATTCATCATAAACGTGATATCCGGACTTGTGTGGTCAGCTACAACGTGGATCATGTGGGAGAAACAGTGGAAAAGAAAGGAGAGCTTCTAGTGGGTTATAGGCGATGGAGGCGATGGAGGCCTGTGTCCGGGGAAGCCTCTGGGGGTGTCAAGCAGGAGCTAGCTTCGCGTTGAGGCGCCAAATAAGGCTCAAGCTCGTAGTACGCAATTGCAGTTCACAGCGATCTGTCTGGTGGAAAGCTGGAGCGGCGCTGTTGCTGAAGTCTGCAAGTGCATCGGCCTGCGCTCGCCACAAGCAGGTTCCAGTACTGGGATGCATCTCCAGCAGCCTGGCGACTGGTGCAGGAGGGGGCTGCAATTTCAACAGTGGTGGAGGCCAAGGACCAGGAGGAGGAGGTGGAGGCGGAGATGGGTTTCAGACGTCGGCTGTGCCAGCACAGTCAGTGAGCGGCGAAGCTGACGATTCGAGTGCTGCTCAACCAGTAATTATTCTCGACGTTGGGGTATGTCACACATAGGAGCTTTTGTTTATCAGTTTATTTGGCTTGCAACAGGGCATGTCGTGTGGTGGGTGCGCAGCGTCCGTAAAGAGGATCCTTGAGTCCCAGGTCTCGGCTTCGATGAGTGTATGCATGCAATGACTATGAATTTTCCAGGTTCAAGTAGCTTCTGCTACTGTCAATCTTGCCACAGAAACCGCAGTTATTCACGTCAAACAGGATTCTCCTGCAGCATCTAATCGGGAGATTGCGGAACATCTTGCAAATCACCTGACTACTTGCGGATTTAAATCATCAGTACGAGGTGAGGTGTCTTCCCTTTGCAGCACAATAGACTAGGAAGGAATCCATCCTTGCCTGATTTGTTTTTCTGCATGGTTGCAGAAGTTCCTCTGTAAAGCAGTGGAGATTTTGCTTTCAATAAACTATATCTCTGTGAACATGATTCAACTGGAATAGACTGAGATGTTTCATTGGGCTTTGGTCATGCAGAACAAGGGTCCCAAAGTCGTCTTCAAGCAGCTTACAAAAGAAAAGAGGAACGTAAAGTTCGTTTGAAAGACTCTGGTATGCATAGTGTTCTGTAAATGCATGTCATGGATTAACTTGACTGAGCAGGGCGGAGATTGGCAGCAGCCTGGACGCTATTTTCTCTGAGTCTCGTTGGCCACGCAAGTCACTTCGGTCTCAAATATTTTCCTCCATGGCTACATTTTTTCCACTCAGTGAGCTTTCAGATGTCTCTTTGCGTTTTCTCGCTAGTAGGACCTGGCCGCAGCCTTCTCTTGGACGGATGGAAAAGCTTTCGTCGAAGGAGTCCCAATATGAACACCCTGGTGGGCTTAGGAGCTGTTTCATCTTTTGCAGTCAGTGTCATCGCGGCACTATATCCAAAGCTGGTAGAGTTCGATCCTTACATTGAGAAGGCTTAAGCGTTTGGTTCACAGGGTTGGAGTTCGTTTTTCGAAGAGCCCGTAATGCTTTTAGCTTTCGTGTTGCTCGGCAGAGCAGTGGAAGAAAGAGCAAAAGTGAAGGCAAGCAGTGATATGGAAAGCCTACTTGGACTTCTTCCCAAAAATGCTCGGCTTGTTATGGGGAAAAGCTTAGACGAAGTTCCATCGACAGTGGACGTTCCATGTGATAGCATTGTACTGGGAGACCGGGTTATGGTCTTACCTGGGGTATGTTAAGTATAGCTATCATTCTTCGGTTCATTTAATTTTATTGTTCTCAGGACATTATCCCAGTGGATGGCATTGTGAAAGAAGGCAGAAGCACTGTGGATGAATCCAGTCTTACTGGTGAACCTCTTCCGATTTTGAAGAAATCTGGTGTAAGTTACGACTTTTGTGGCCTTGTTGCTCAACTTAATGCAATAATGCAGGATGAAGTAAATGCTGGAACAGTGAACCACAATGGTGTGATCCTGGTTGAAGCAGTGCGGTCTGGTGATGAAACCGTTGTTGGGGATATTGTGAGGATGGTAGAGAACGCTCAATTAAGAGAAGCACCAATACAGAGGTTGGCTGACAAGGTGTGTGGACGCAAACGTCACTGTTTAGCGCGCTGACTGTTTTTCTTTGTAGGTTTCAGGCAAGTTTTGTTATGCAGTAATGGCCTTATCTGTCGCCACTCTCGGATTTTGGAGCGTTTTGGGACCAAAGCTGTTTCCTTCCGTCATCCCGACTGGTGGTGGACTTCTTCTCGGCCTACAGCTTGCTTGTAATGTGCTTGTGAGTATATATTTCACTGATTGTTTGGCACTGCTCAACTTCTTACCGGTTCTCCAGGTGATTGCCTGTCCTTGCGCTCTTGGACTTGCCACACCAACCGCTGTTCTGGTACTTAAAACTTTGTTCGTCATTGTAAGACTTGTATTTGCACTTATCTAGGTGGGCACGTCACTGGGAGCACGAAATGGTTTACTAGTTCGAGGTGGAGACATTCTAGAAAAAGCATCCGCTGTTGATGCGGTTGTGTTCGACAAGACTGGCACACTTACACTGGGGAGGCCTGTTGTGGTTGACGTGGTGTTAAATAAGTATTACTATCTAGTTAGAAGATACTACACTTACTAACTATTTCTTTCAGGTACTGGAGTAAAGAAGAAGTTCTAAAGTTTGCTCATGGAGTGGAACGTACAGCAAGCCATCCTCTCGCAAAAGCCATTGTTCAGGAAGCAGAAAACGTAGGATCTACCGGCGCATTGGTGAGAACTATGTTCTCTGTGAGCAGAAATGTTCTGATCTGTTATTCTCTAGGTGCAAGATGGATCTTTCGAGCAAGAACCTGGGAGTGGGGCAACAGCTGTTGTGGATGGAAAGAGAGTAACTGTCGGCACCTTAGATTGGGTCCAAAGGTTTCTCTTATATCTATCTACTTGTGGCAATATCTATTAATTTTGATATGTTGTAGGTTCGGAACGGTTGGAGAGCCCCCGCGACTTCTGGGAAATCCGGAAGGAAGAACAGTTGTTTTTGTCGGGCTGGACAACTCCATTGCTGCTGCTATCACTTTGGTCGACGAAATCAGGGACGACGCCGCGGAGACTGTGAGAGCTCTGATTACATTCACATATCCTTTTACAGCTTCGTTCTTGTGATTTTTTCGATCAAACTTCCTGTAGCACTTCACACAGACGAGAGAAAGACTATTCCTCGTCCATTAAAGCTGCAAAAGGAATCCAACTTGAGTAACCTCCGTTTCTAGGAGAGTTCAAGATACACTTCTTCCAGGTTCGCACTCATCATGAATATGTATTGGTTACTGATGGCTTCGTTAGGCACAGGGCGTCTTGATCTGTTCACAGCAGAAAGATCCTCGGCAGTGCGTTTGTCCAGCGACGTGGAGCCGAGCTGCTCGTTGCAACTCTGCTCAGTATCCGACGCTTCGGATGAGATTTGGACACGGGATACGTTTCGAGTTTGAAGAAGGATCAGACAAGTAAGAAGATGGATTCTGATTTTCTTATCGTTCTTAAAATCTGGTTCCAGGTGGTGGATGCTCTCGAATTAAGCCGAAGAATCCAGAGAAAGATAAAGCAGAACTTATGCTGGGCATTCATGTACAACATAGTTAAGTGGCTATTTTGGTGGTTCTTTTTGTTAAAACTTTCCAGTGCTGTTTGTTGACAGATTGGTTTGCCAATAGCTGCGGGGGCTCTTGTTCCAGCCACCAGAGTGATGCTCACGCCGTCACTGGCGGGTGCTCTCATGGGATTGAGCTCGCTGGGAGTGGTGACTAATTCGCTCCTGCTTCACTGGGAATACTTTGTTCACGTGGACAAGCATCGCAGTAAAGCACCACTCGGAGCGAGCGATAGCATTGCCATTGTTACTTCATGATTCGTTCAACTTTCATATTCTTCACGAACTCAGTGAGTTTTGAGGAAGAAAAACTGCGATTCTTTACTCATCGTTATCTTACAATTCTGCAACTCCAAGGCTTGTCCCGGTTGTAATAATAGTAAACATCGCACCTCAGGAACTGGGAGCACCTGGCTAGCGTAGATTCCCAGAGGCTTGGCCGCGCCCGCGGTCCAAACAACAAATCCCACAGATCCCTTTTGCTTTGCGTGATCTCCACATTGACTGCGCCAGGCCTCACCCCCGGCATCTCCACGACGATCACATACGAGTCTGGACGGTTCCACATGTCCAAGAAGGGCGGGATGGTGATGACCCGTGAATCACCACCACACGCAGCTCTGTAGCCAGCAAGAGCTTCAGGCTGAACCAGCTCCTCCGCCATGTCAGTAACCAGAAGATCGCACCGCACCCACAGCAGGAAGCACAGCACGCTCCTCGCTCTCCGCCTCTTGCTCGTCGAATCCAAATCCCACAACAAGCGGCACAGTTACCCGCAAGAGACCATCGTCAAGCTGGTGGCTGATGCGCCCTGCGTCAACGTGCTGCGGGAGGACAAACTTCGGAGCAAACAGCTTGGTGAGCGCACCGCGCTCCTCTCTCCGTGCAACGGAATATGCCTCGTAGAATTGGCAAACATCGGCTAGGTTTTATGAATGGTCTAGGGCTGTTTGAGAGCTTGCGATGGTGATCCTACTAGGCATGTTGCTGCTGATTGTGCTGGCGATGCTGCACCCGCCGCCTAAGCATCGCAATGTGTGGGCTACTGCCACCTGGATCCTCTTCCTTGTGGGTAAGTTAAATCTTTTTCAATGCTTATAGATTGCTGCCATTCGACATTGCTGATGCTGTTTATTTTAGTGGGCATTTTGATTTTTCTTGCTCTGTGGGAGAGATATGGACACTTTGAGGAAGTATTTTCTCCTGTCGTGATTCTAGAAAACTGGTTTGCAGTCAAGAAGGGCACTAGTTCTGCGTTACCTTGGAGATTGCCCTCTTATGGAAATCGTCGAGGCTTACTAATAGTGGTCAACGATGAGAATATCACTAGATGCACTGATGATGCTGCTGACATTGAGATGTTACGCCACGAGTCTTTTGGATACACTGAAGTCTAGCTCCTGTCCGGTATCGTTACTGGTTTATGATTGTTTGCGTCTCTTTACTTTACATGGTTGGTTTTTGTTAGGTCCGAGCACTAGACGTGCTTATTTTGCAATCAAAAAGTTCATCACAAGTGGAGTTACTGGAGATCGGCTTTTCTTCTTCTTTTGTGGACATGGTTTGGAGAGCCTTCTTGATATGAATGGTGATGAACTTGATGGCAACAATGAAGCAATTTGCTTCTCAAATGGACTTCAGTTTATCCAAAGGACTTGTGGAGTAGCATCTCAATGTCAGCAACGTCATCAGTGCATCCAGTGATATTCTCATCATTAACCGTTATTAGTAGGCCTCGACGATCTTTATAAAAAGGCAATCTCCAGGGTAACGCGGAATCAGTGCCCTTCTTGACCGCAAACTAGTTTTCTAAAGTCACGACGGGAGAAAACGCTTCCTCAAAGTGTCCCTATCTCTCCCACAGAGCAAGAAGAATCGAAATGCTCACTAGAATAAATAGCATCAGCAATGTTGAATGGCAGCAATCTATAAGCATCGAAAAAGATTTGGGTATGCTTTTTCATTTATTCTTCTGTTATGTTTTTTGGTCATGATTTTGTTTGTATGTAGGTGCTCGTAGATGATATTCTACATAAGATAATGGTAGAAGATCTTCAACCTGGTGTCCAGCTAACTGCTGTGCTTAACACATGCCACAGCGGCACGATGCTTAATTTGCCTTTCCAGACAACAGGGAAAAGATGGATGAAGGCTTCGAATCAAGTTTCAACTCCGCTGCAGGCAAAGGTTTCTTCAAAACGACTGTTACCTCAATTGCAGCGTGCCTGGATCACGAGATAACTTTGTTTGTAAGTTTCTTTTGCCCATTGTTTGATTTGTTCTCTCAGTTTCTGTTATTCTTTTCAGGATCGAACTCAGAGACACAGTCTTTTCACTCTCGATTTCACCAAATCCATTCGTGAAGGAGCAAACACGTACAAGCTACTCCTTGAGAGTATGCACAAGAAGCAGCAAGAAGCTGGATTAAGGAATAGCACAATCAATATATGTGCAACTGAACCGTTTTCTCTTGATCAGGTACTTGTGTTGTAGCCTCTGAATGAAGTTCTCCTGGCGTTAATAAAGTTTACTGACTTTCCACTCGTATGGCGTTCTGGTGCAATATAAAAACATGGTGCTTTCATATAGGAATGTCGTTTCCATCTCGGAGATGACGAGAGGAGGCCACTGCTGCCACGGACAGACCCGCAGAGCTTCTTAAGCGCTACTGAAAGCAATGAAAGAATACGGGAGCTTCCAGATTGGATACACCAAGGCAATTTTTGTGAGAGTAGAGTGCAGTGTCAGTACACGCGTAAGAAAGTGGAAAGCAAAAGCTCCGTCGGGATTTGAAAACTTTGACGATCGGATCGACGCCTGATTAGTTTAGTTTTAATCTTTATAATTACTCAAGATTAGAAATAAATGAATTATAACGTTAACATTTAGGTCGGATTGCTTGGAAGGAGCGAGGAGCGCAGAGGATGGCGACGCGTCGGCGGGACAGGCTCCTCGAAATGTCGAGTGCCGCCGCTTCTTCTTGTCCCGTTGTTATGGAGGACGACGATCCGCCACCGGAAATGGGGATCTCGAGGTAGGCAAAATTTGCAGACTTTTCCCTGGATCCCTCTAGATGTCAGGGTCGAGGACGCTCCAGTTGTAGCTCCCGTTCCTCCTGGTCGAAAAATTAAGAAGTACCGTAATCTGAGGAAGAGTCTTGGCCTTTCTCACTGGCGAATGTGAAATTTTCGTGCTGCGCACCTAAATTTTACATCGGCGTTTTGGATCCGGACGAGCTTCCCATACCAACGCGATCATCACCCAAGAAGCTGCCGGAGCTACCCACTCTTGAAGTAAAGTCCAGTTTACACGACGAGTGCAACACAAGCGTGGAGAAGAATTCCAACAGGGACAGTTTGCGGGAGACATGTTTTTCCGAAAGATTCGACAGCCGTTCCAAGCCGCTTGGTATGTTTTCTCGTTCCTCGCTGTATGAGACTCATGTTCTTTTTACTTGTTCTTAGACATATCGATCATGGAAGAGTCTGCTCGAGACACTTCTGTAAGTTTGGAGCTTTATTTGTATGCCAAGGCCTATACCTCTAAGTCCAGTTGTGCTCCTGCAAAAACAGCGATAGAATCTGCTATACAAAAGGACACTCGGGTACGACTTCCCATTACATTCACATATCCTTTTACAGCTTCGTTCTTGTGATTTTTTCGATCAAACTTCCTGTAGCACTTCACACAGACGAGAGAAAGACTATTCCTCGTCCATTAAAGCTGCAAAAGGAATCCAACTTGAGTAACCTCCGTTTCTAGGAGAGTTCAAGATACACTTCTTCCAGGTTCGCACTCATCATGAATATGTATTGGTTACTGATGGCTTCGTCTGGCACAGGGCGTCTTGATCCGTTCACAGCAGAAAGATCCTCGGCAGTGCGTTTGTCCAGCGACGTGGAGCCGAGCTGCTCGTTGCAATCCTGCTCAGTATCCGACGCTCATGATGAGATTTGGACACGGGATACGTTTCGAGTTTGAAGAAGGATCAGACAAGTAAGAAGATGGATTCTGATTTTCTTATCGTTCTTAAAATCTGGTTCCAGGTGGTGGATGCTCTCGAATTAAGCCGAAGAATCCAGAGAAAGATAAAGCAGAACTTATGCTGGGCATTCATGTACAACATAGTTAAGTGGCTATTTTGGTGGTTCTTTTTGTTAAAACTTTCCAGTGCTGTTTGTTGACAGATTGGTTTGCCAATAGCTGCGGGGGCTCTTGTTCCAGCCACCAGAGTGATGCTCACGCCGTCACTGGCGGGTGCTCTCATGGGATTGAGCTCGCTGGGAGTGGTGACTAATTCGCTCCTGCTTCACTGGGAATACTTTGTTCACGTGGACAAGCATCGCAGTAAAGCACCACTCGGAGCGAGCGATAGCATTGCCATTGTTACTTCATGATTCGTTCAACTTTCACAACTTCACGAACTCAGTGAGTTTTGAGGAAGAAAAACTGCGATTCTTTACTCATCGTTATCTTACAATTCTAGTAGAGGATGCAACTCCAAGGCTTGTCCCGGTTGTAATAATAGTAAACATCGCACCTCAGGAACTGGGAGCACCTGTCTAGCGTAGATTCCCAGAGGCTTGGCACTGCCTTGGGCAGAGTCACCTTCACCAAGCCATCGCTGACATGGTAAGTTGCGTTTGCACCAACCGGGTACTTGGGGGGAAAAGAAAGCCTGAGCGCGAACTCTTTGGTGTTCGCTCCTCCCCGCTCCAGCCTCCGTGCTTGGCCCTCGTCTTCGTCTTGAGTAACGCCAGTGACAGACACTATAGAACTACCCTTCCCATCCCGCGCCCGCGGTCCAAACAATAAATCCCACAGATCCCTTTTGCTTTGCGTGATCTCCACATTGACTGCGCCAGGCCTCACCCCCGGCATCTCCACGACGATCACATACGAGTCTGGACGGTTCCACATGTCCAAGAAGGGCGGGATGGTGATGACCTGTGAATCGCCACCACACGCAGCTCTGTAGCCACCAAGAGCTTCAGGCTGAATGAGCTCCTCCGCCATGTTAGTGGTGCAGTAACCAGAAGATCGCACCGCACCCACAGCAGGAAGCACAGTACGCTCCTCGCTCTCCGCCTCTTGCTCGTCGAATCCAAATCCCACAACAAGCGGCACAGTTACCCGCAAGAGACCATCATCAAGCTGGTGGCTGATGCGCCCTGCGTCAACGTGCTGCGGGAGGACAAACTTCCGAGCAAACAGCTTGGTGAGCGCACCGCGGTCGTCTCTCCAGCGACCCCGCCCATGCTCCTCCCGTGCAACTCCAGCGATTGAGAGAATCGACTGCTGGGAGGCCCAAGGCAGGACTTCCACCTTGACATCGCTGCCCCTCACCCCCGGCATCTCCACAAGGATGACATAGGCGTGCGGCAGCCGCCACACATCTGTGAGAGCAGCGGTCACCACCGTGTCGGCTACGTAGCACATGGGAGTTATGAAGGCGTCTTGTGCTCTTACGCTGGTGTGGCCGGCCGTGCCGCAGCCCCGCGCCACCTTGAGGGAGCACCGGTCGGAGGACCTGTCAGCACCGCCGCAAGCCTGCGCCATCACCGCCAGCACCTGCAACAAGACGAGAAGCATCGCCATTGCCTTCCCCATCCTCCCTTCCTAACCCCACTACACGCTATATAGAGAATAACATTCCTTTTTACGTGACCCTTTAAACCCGTTGTTGATCTATGGTGATTTTTCAGCCAACTGAATCTTCCTCCTTGCTGTTAAAATGTTTCCATCTTTCTGGAGTTTTTTTCGACGCATATGTTAATTATTCTAGTGGGCATTCTCTCTGATGGAGAGACAGGGAGTTCCCGAAAACTGGTTTGCGGTCAAGAAAGTGCATTAAAGGCCTTAACGATCTCCAAAACAGAGCAATCTCCTTTGGGGCTTAATCAAACATGTAAGGTAGTAGATATATTTAAAATATGCTTAAATTAATGTAGATTAAATTTGATTTATAAACTTATTCTATAAGGTCAAGCTCCAACCTCTGGATTTCCTGGAAGCTCATAGACTGCACCCTAAAGACCTGCCTGCCACTACACCTTGTAGCTCCAAGAATCTCATCAGTGGCTTTGGAAGGTGATGCTAAAACCTTGCAATGAGCAAGGTGGTTAATCCTTGGTCTGATTCTCATTTCTTTACTCTCCACTGTGTCACACCACACAATCAAGCAAGTGCTAGCTAGATTACTATTGTTGCTCCAGGTCAAGAAGCAAAACTAAAAGTTGAAAGTGGCACTCGCACTCTACTTATTAGGGTTTTCTCCCCTGAGCTCCTAATTAAAGCCTTGGTATGGCATTGGAAAGTGCAAAGAAGCCTTGTGCTGTTTTCCTTCCAATCCCAACTCCATAACCAAAGAGTGTAGAAAGTTCATGGGTTCTAAAGTTACTTGTCTTCTATTTATTCCTCTAAAGAGATTTTATTCCTCTATTATGAATATCAGATTTTGCAATAAAGAATCCCTACTCTATAAATAAATAAATAAATTAAAATTAATTATTTTTATGGATTAAGAAACCTTGGATCTGCTCAAAAACCCAAGAACACTCTATATTGGCAATTTCTTTAATCACTAAAATTTATCTTGCTAAAACTATATCCTTAACATGGCTGGCTTTCTAGCATAGTGGTTGATTGTAATGGGGTAGGGCTAGTGATGACTTATGTGCTATCACCAAGGGTAATTACCTCTTTGGGAAAAAATGCTTTTGCTTACAAATATGCCGATAAATTAAGAAAAAGGAAATCAAAATAAAAGGAGAATTTCTTTATCAATCGAGCTAAATGATAAGGTAAATGGTTATAAATTTCATGTAAACCATTTACTTTCCCCAAAACCTTGATTACAAACTAATTAAAGAACAGTTTAAGAGCAGTAAATCATGATTATATACTCAGAATATCCAAGTATAATTTAGGATAATCTTCAGTTTAAAATTGTGTTCCATCAGATCATGCTTGCAAGAAGCAAAGCAACTCATGTAAAACCAGCTTATTGGCAATAACATTAATAGATCCTGTGGTTTACAAAGGGAAAAATGTCAAAGTTAAAAAGACTCACCTTCATCTTGGAATTTATTTGTGTTTGTGACACTTCCTTACCAATGGTTATTAGGCCAGAAGATGACCAAAAGGAATTTATACTGTGTGCTTTCTATACAGCTCAAGTCAAGACATAGAATCTTATCTTTTGAGTGTTGGTGGATGCATAGAAGACACATCTATAATCATCACTAAGTATGGAGAAGCTCAACACCATTGGCGGCTGCACCACCAGAAGGCAAGCATTCTCCTCATAACTTTGTCATTTAGATCAAATACCAAATAATAGAGACAAAAAGCTATATGGTCTTTACAAACTGTTGAATTTGACCTTAGCTTGCTAAATTGCATTTGATCACATGCTTAGAGAAAATGTTAAAAATCTAAAGCAAACCAAGTGTTCCATAGCACATTCTACTTTTTAATGCATTTAAAAATACTTTAAGTCAGCTGAAAAAGGGAAAGATCCATCCAGAAATCCAGAATGGCATTTCGACAGGAGCAGGGTTCGAAACGCGCGATTTACAGAGCAGCATCGTTTTAATTAGTTTAGTTCTAATCATAGAGCATAGAAATAAGTGGAGGAATAAAAATTGTAACGTTAACATGTACGGCACTTCCCGCTCGTTGGTTTAGGTCGGATTGCTTGGAAAGGGGCGAGGAGAGGCGAAGGGGAGAGCGCAGCTATGGCGGGCAAGGCGCGTCGGCGGGACAGGCTCTCCATCCTCGACATGTCGATTGAGGACGACAGTCTTCTGCCGGGTAGTGCCGCAGCTTCTTCTTGTCCTGTTGTTATGGAGGACGACGATCCGCCACCGGAAATGCGGAATCAGGGATCTCGAGGTAGGCAAAATTTGAAGTCTTTTCCCTGGATCCCCCATTTCTTTGGCTTCTAGATGTCACGGTCGAGGATGCTCCTGTTGTGGCTCCGGTTCCTCCAGTTCGAAAAATCAAGAAGTACCATAACTTGAGGAAGAGTCTTGCGTGGGATAAGGCCTTTCTCACTGGCGAAGGTGAATTTTTCGTGCTGCGCACCTGAATTTTACATCGAATGTGTAGCACGCTCCAGGTGTTTTGGATCCGGACGAGCTTCCCATACCAACGCGATCATCACCCAAGAAGCTGCCGGAGCTACCCACTCTTGAAGTAAAGTCCAGTTTACACGACGAGTGCAACACAAACGTGGAGAAGAATTCCAACAGGGACAGTTTGCGAGTGAAATGTTTTTCTGAAAGATTCGACAGCCGTTCCAAGCCGCTTGGTATGTTTTTCCGTTCCTTGCTGTATGAGACTCATGTTCTTTTTACTTGTTCTTAGACATATCGATCATTCAGGGGCCGGACGAGTCTGCTCGAGACACCTCTGTAAGTTTGGAGCTTTATTTGTATGCCAATGCCTTATATATGTTTCAGGGCTTGCCGAGTCCAGTGGTTCCCAGGTGCGCTCCTGCAAAAAAAGCGATAGAATCTGCTATTCAAAAGGGCACTCGGCTACGACTTCCCAGTACATTCACATATCCTTTTTCAGCTTCTTTCTTGTGATTTTTTCGATCAAACTTCCTTTAACTCTTCACACAGACGAGAGAAAGACTATTCCTCGTCCATTAAAGCCGCAGAAGGAATCCAACTTGGGCAAGAGAGTAACCTCCGTTTCTAGGAGAGTTAAAGATACACTGGGGAGAGTTCTTCCAGGTTCGCACTCATCATGAATATGTATTGGTTACTGATGGCTTCCTCTGTCACAGGGCGTACTGATGCGTTCACAGCAGAAAGATCCTCGGCAGTGCGTTTGTCCAGCGACGTCTCAGTCACAAGTGAAGGGGAGCCGAGCTGCTCGTTGCAATCCTGCTCAGTATCCGATGCTCATGATGAGATTCTAGAAGATTTGGACACGGGATACGTTTCGAGTTTGAAGGAGGATCAGACAAAAACAAACGCGCTATTGTCAGAGGACTCGCGATCAAAGCCAACTGCACTGAAGATGCCATCTCCCAAACTCGGATATTTTGATGCTGTGAGTTAGTTCTTACAAGTATTCGCTGACTTGACTCTTTCTTTCGTCACAATGCAGGGAAGACCAACACATCACTATGCTACCAGGGCTGCAGTTAGAATCCCTCCTGGTATGCCGAGCTCCAAAACAAAGCCGCATGGTTTGCCTAAAGGAAAGCCACCGTCAACAGCTAGCATCGAGCGCATTTCTTCGGCTATTCCGTCAGCCCCGCACTTACGCAAGGTAACATCAGGGGAACAGGAGAACTTAAAGAAAAAGGGACATACAGACGAGAACAGCGAGTCAAGTTTGAAGGACGGCCCCGTTCCTTCAGCTACTAAAAGTCCGTTGGGAGTGAACGGTGGTTTGCTAAATTCTGGTCCCAGCGTAGCCAAAGAGAAGGGCTCGTTCTTCGCGTTTGCAAAGAGGGCTGTCGGCCGTTTGGCGTCGCCTGTGCAGGAGAAGAAGAAAATTTGGATAGCTACTAGCTGTGATGGAGCATCGACAGAGTCGTCAGCTGAAGCGATCAAAGAGGTTGAATTCTTGTTTATTTTATAGAGTACTAACTGGAATGCATCTGGAACTGTGTAGGATGGAAACATTCTCAAGCCCGGACCAGTACAACATTCGCCTCCCAATAAATTAGAACCTCAGCCAGGCCCGTGGTCTCCGGTACGTGGTGCTGGTATTTTGATCTTCGTGGCTGGGTGATCAAACCGTCATGTCCTGGCAGGTTCGAAAGAATGGAACGCAACTGGGTCCCTTCGACTGTACCAAGTCAAACGCTCAAGTTGCCTGGGACTGAGGAGAAGAGTTTAGGTAAAGTTCGATGGAGGAGGCCGAATGCTGCGTCTGTCTCCAAGGTTTTGAGGAGGAAGGGGAGCATGTTCCGCGAGTTTTAAGATGCGGCCACACGCTGTGCCAGGAGTGCGTTGTCCACCTTGCTCGAGACCGGCAACAGCAGCAGCAGCAGCAGCGGTTTGTTCGGTGCCCCGAGTGCTCTCACGTCACGGCCCTTGCGTATCCGTCATCGCTCCCGAAGAACTTTGAGCTGCTGCGACTTTCTGGTAGGAGTCGTCGTCCTCGGCCTGCTGCTGTCGCTCCATCGTCATTGTCTGTGGAAGGAGCTGGACAGTTTGTGCTGCGTGATCTCCTCCACCCGTTTCCAGGTTCGGTTTCTATTTGCGTCAGCTCAAGCTCAGATTCAAGCTCGTCCCGGGATCTCTTGCATGGGCTGCTAGGTGATGGGCTTCGCGTTTCGCTCTTCTTGCTCCTTGGGAGCAGCAGGAAATGGAGAAGCATTCTTGCTGGCAAGGATGATTTGCGCAGAGAAGAGGCGGCGATGAAGCTTTGGCAGCAGGGGCTTTCACAGGGATCGAGAAAGGAGATATTAGCGCTGTTGAGGGTAGCTTCGCTGTGCCAAGCGGCGTGCAAAGTTGTGGGAGTGTGGTTGAATGACGAGCATAGCAAGCTCTACCTGGTAAATAACATCTCATTTGGGTCGACAAGCCTTTCTGCGCACCATGTCCAAGGAGGCCGCCTCGCCGATGCTGCCGCGGACTTGTGCGAGATACTGATGCAAATCCACTCCCAAGGGATGGTGCTGGGGATTTTTGGCATGGAGATGTTCCAAGTGAGCCAGTTTGGTCGCATCATTATGCACTGGAACGGGGCACTGGAGCTTCGTGGTGCCATGCATCGGAGTCTAGTGGATGACAAAACTACTCGTGAAGCATGGCATTTCACAAGTCCAGAGATGTTGGTAGCACTTTCCTCTGGGGCAGGGACCTTGGAAAGCGAAAACCAGGAGTCATCCGACGTATGGTCGCTCGCATGCTTTCTCCTCCACCTCATTCTCGATCGACCCTGCCCAGCGCTGTCATTCAAGCAAGCTTGCGATGAGGTTAAGCAGAAAAGAACACTCCTTGGCGCCGCGGGACATGGTGACAGTCCGTTTCAAGAGTTTTTGCTGAGTTGCCTTGCGGAGCACCCGGATGAGAGGCCAACCATGAAAGAGTTTTGCCACCATCTCAAGCTGCTGCGATCTCCAAAGACTTCAGTTACCAATGACGAAGAGGACGCTCCGCCCGCGCGGATAAGCTGGTGCTTCGGGCTTCAAGCACTGGACATGTTGATGAAAGAGGAAGTTTTCCAAGACCAGGAGCAGCAAGACCTGCAGCTTGAGGAGACCACAACGCTCGAAGGTCACACGGGTTGCATCACTTCCCTCGCTTTTTGCGGTGAGTTTTGTGTCTTACCAACTTCTAGCTTTTGAACCTAGCCTCTGCGTTTACTGCTGCTGCAGGAGCGAATTTGGTGAGCGTCTCCTTTGATAAAACTGTGCGGCTCTGGTCTTTGCAGGTGAGAGAAAATCTTTCTTCTGAAGCGTCCAGTTGATTTCGGAATGGTCAGGATGAATCTCTGCTCTGGAGCTGGGAAGACCAGCATCCTCAACGTATTCAAGCTCTAGCGGTAGACGAAGCTTCTCAGGTGTGCTACACTGGCGATTACGGTCGACTTATCTGCGTATGGAAACTTTCGCAACCGTTTCAGAAGCATCCCGTGGCTAAATGGCAAGACCACAACGACTGGCGGTTCACTGGTGTCGCGTCTCTTGTTATCTCGGACGACGGCGTTCTCTACAGTGGCAGCGGTGACATGCTTGTCAAAGCGTGGTGTACAGAGGTATGCAGAGCTATGTCTAGAAAAATAAATGTGCAGGAATGTTTTGCAGACGCACAGCCTTTTGGGAACGTTCCGTGGCCACCGAGGAGTGGTCTCAACTCTTGCAGTAGACGGAGGACTTCTGTATTCTGGAAGCTGGGATGGCTGCATCCGCATCTGGTCTCGTAGCGACTTTGGCTCAGTTGGAGTTTTAAACGTTGGAACTGATCCTATCCGAGCACTATCCATCTCTTCTGACGATGAAGCTGTTGTCTGTGGTCTCGACAACGGTGGCATTCAGGTAAATAGCTCGCGCTCTGTTTGGTTGAACTCAACTTGAGTTACAGGTGTGGAAGAATGGCAAATGCGACGCTTCCATCAGGCCTCACGATGGACCAATATCGTGCCTGGCTACAATCTCTACAGATGGCTGTCTGTGTACGGGTGGCTGGGACAAATCGATCAAGGTTGCACTTGGGATTTGTCATGCTTTGTTTTTTTATTCTGTGTGGCGTGTGTTTGTATAGGTGGTGCATGTCAACGATGATGATGTCAAGAAGAGCATTACATGCGATGATGCAGTAATGTCGATGGTCTACAAAGGCAACAAGCTGTACGCGGCCTTAGGGAAGAATATCAAAGTGTACAAGTGATCTCAGATAAGATAATGTTAATCAGCATGTCAACATCTAATCTAAGATGACTCGGGATGTGGATTGCGTGGTGCAGGGAAAGGGAAATCCAAGTCTCTACTCAGTTGCAGGCACTTCCCCTCCTCCTTGTCCTATCATGGCGACTACGAGTGCTCCGTCAACTCCAGCTGCTGGACTGGGAGCTCACTGTGGGACGAGGACGAGGAGGAGCAGTGTATTTGCAACTCGGCGTTGCTCGTTGTGGGGAGAAGGGGAATTTAGCGAGGTGAGCATTGGCGGAAGAGGTGTGGTCGCACAGGAAGGAGCAAGGAGCAGGAGCGCGAGAGGAGTAGTGAGTGTTCGTGCGGACGCTGGGACAATGGTAGCGGCCACTTCGGGCACTCGAGTACGTGCAACCAGCGTTCTGGTTGTGGGAGCAACTGGTACGCTGGGTAGGCAGGTTGTTCGTCGAGCTCTTGACGAAGGCTACGATGTCAGGTGCCTCGTCCGTCCCCGCCCGGCGCCTGCGGACTTCCTCCGTGACTGGGGTGCCACCGTCGTCAACGTACGTGTGCCGTTTTTGCTATCATGCTTGTTCACTCATCATTTGCAGGGTGACTTGAGCAAGCCGGAGACGCTACCGGCCACTTTGGTGGGAATTCATACCATCATCGACTGTGCAACCGGTCGGCCGGAGGAGCCTATCAGAACGGTGTGGATACTAGCTGCTCCTCGCGGTTCTTATTTTTCTTTTTGGTTGCAGGTTGATTGGGATGGGAAGGTGGCTTTGATCCAATGCGCGAAGGCCATGGGAATCCAGAAGTTCATCTTCTTTTCTATCCATAATTGCGACCAGCATCCGGAGGTACCCCTCATGGAGATCAAGCGTTGCACCGAGAAGTACATTGCGGACTCCGGTCTCAACTACACAATCATCAGATTGTGTGGATTCATGCAGGTGAAAGAAGAAAAACAAACGAGAATTATATGTTGCTTGCGTTGCAGGGTCTCATCGGGCAGTACGCAGTGCCTGTCCTCGAGGACCAAGCAGTGTGGGGAACAGATGCTCCTACGCGGATTGCGTACATGGACACGCAGGTGATTGCATTATAGTATGGCACTGTTCCTTTTTGATAAATTCTTCTCTACCAGGATGTAGCGCGGCTGACTCTCATGGCTCTGAGAAACAAAAAGGCAGATCGCAAGATGCTCACATTTGCAGGTCCTCGCGCATGGACGACACAAGAGGTCACAGCAACGCAAGTTTTGATCCTCTGCCTGTTCTGATATTGTTTTCCTTTTTCCTTCTCCAGGTGATTAGTCTTTGCGAGAGGCTGGCAGGACAGGACGCCAAGGTGACAACAGTTCCCTTGGGAATCCTCAAGCTTGCGCGGCTCGTCACTCGTTTCTTTCAGTGGACAAACGATGCGGCAGACCGGCTCACATTCTCAGAGGTGCGTGACTGTTTTAAGTCTCTATTTAACTTAGCAGTGAGTTCGACGACACAGATCCTCACCAGTGACACTGTTTTCTCTGCACCAATGGCCGACACATACTCGCTGCTGGGCGTGGATCCCAACGAGACCACCACCCTGGAGAAGTATTTGCAGGAGTACTACTCGCAAATCCTCAAGAAGCTCAAGGACTTGAAGGCGCAGTCCAAGCAGGGCCAGTTCTACATATGAATGATGTGTAAAATTGAAAAGCCCTAGTAGGCTCGCGACGCGAGGAAATGGCTGCTGGGTTCCAAGCGCGGCTGGACGAGATGCTCCGCTCCCGGCAAGCGCAGCTCCAGCGCTTGAATGTAACAAACGCATTCCTTTTAGTGATTGAAAGTTTTTGAATTGCGGGCGAGTGATGAGTCCATGCAGGAGGAGACGGCCCTCCAAGGTGGCAAGCGGCTGGTTGTAGAGGAGCGCAAGGGCGAGCTCCGGCGCATCCAACGCCAGATCCTGGCACTGAAGCTGGGTCTGGGCAAAATGGAGCTGCACACTGCCCTGGCCCAAGAGGAGCTACGAAGTCGCCAAGCCAAGGCAGACAAGCTCGTCCAAGAGCGCAGGTTCCTTTTCCTCCTTTTAAAATCTCCTTAGATGCAATGCAATGGACAGAGAGTTGGCGCTCGAGATTTGCCAGCTCCAGCAGCAGCAAGCGCAAGGGGAGCGGATCAAGTGCGACGAGCAGCAGCAGCTTGAATCCGTGCAGGAATTGCGCCAGACCGCGAGCGAGGTCTGTGATATTGAGCATTGCGATGAAACTCAATATTCGATGGTATGCGCAGCTGGAGATGGTGCTCAAGCGGCTGGACAGCGCTGTGGAAGCAGCGACGAGGAGCGAGGAGTACCTGGCAGGGGTGAAGTGCGAGGTGCAAGACCAAGTGCGGGAGAACGAGTGGATCAAGCGGCGCGCGGAGGAGCAAGTGGGCGTGGCCAGGGACTGGATGCGGGCAATGCACCAGTTGCAACACGAGGTCAAGGCACTGCAGCTGGAAAACCAGAGCTTGGAGAGGGAACTCCTTGCGGCTCTCCAGGAATGATGTCAAAGGTGGTGGCCTCCACGAGCTTCCTGTCAAAAATATTCTCCTCCCAGTGGTCCCGCAAGCAGTCTCCGACCTTTGCCAATCCTCCGGATTGGATTGGTGAAGAGTGTTATCTGCATGCATTTTCTAGCGGAATGGCGTGCTCTATATAGAATATACCACGTGGAATTCCAATAATGGCCATCCTAATGGCCCCATCCCATGTATCCTATGTGCCATACATGTGCATCCCCCATGAGAAGAAGGTAATTGGATGCTCAAATATCCAAATCGGAGTATCAGGAAGCTATATTATCTGTCCCTCTCTTTAACCGATTGCTGTTTTGTGCTCATTGTTCTCAGTATTTTTAGCACTCAGTAGATCAATTAATTCTCCCTCACTTCAACTCCCCCAAACTCCTACGTTTGTGTGGGCTTCAATGGAAATGCCAAATTAGGACAATAGTGCCACCAGTTCATTGTGTTGCAAAAACAGTAGCGAATCCCAATGGATACCCAGTAGTTGCAGGATGTATAAGTGATGAGAATGATGTTGTCATGGTATTCTTTGGGCACTTCCTCCTGTGCTGCAATTCGAGGACCAATAGAATGTTGTGTTATAAACATTGGAACAAACTTGGCCATGATTGGACTTAGCTTGGCCTCCACCCAAAGGGAAACAACACAATGGTGATAGCAAGCATTTTAAGTGGTGTGAGTTCCAATCAAGGATGTTTTATCCCCACTATCCCAACAAACCACAGGAATATTCCAAGAATATTCCATGGCCTGTGGGATTATAGGCCGTAACGCCTTAAGGGTTGGGAGGTTGGCCTAGGGTTCACTCTCTTGCTCATTTCAAGCCTACCTTAACAGCCCTGTGGCGAGCCCATTGAAGCAGTACACGCAGCAATCTGTAATTAGAGGTTTAAGTCAGTTGAATTAACATTGCCATGTGTACAAATTTTTGATTAGTAGTATATGTTCTTGAGAACATGACTTCCACATGGGTGGGCAATACATGTTCTGGAGAACATCTACAGGCCATGTAGGATGATATAGCAACTTGTGATAATATTCTCACAAATAATAAACCTTGATCTGATAGCTTAATAGTGAACCATTGGCCATTAAGGCTGGTACTTTGTACTCCCAAAGGGAAGCAGCACAATCCTGATCCAAGCAAGCCTTTTAAGTGTGAGTATGTCTTTACGTTCCAGGACTCAACTTGAAGTGGTTTGTGTTTAATCTCAAAAACTATTATAAAACCATTAACATAGGGTTTTGTTTTAACAATGGCAGAACTACCCTTTGTATTGCATGTGTCATAGAAGAAAGAGTTGGCCTATTTAGAGATTGGCAAATTGTGGAAACTCTAAGATTAATTGCAAATCTATGTTCACATTGCTGGTTGTGTGTTTGTGATTATACTTCTCTCAGTGGAGCTAGGATCCTTGCTAATTCTATGTTTAGTTTTGAAATATTTATGTGAGAATTCTATTTTGACGATGCACCTACTTCATAGTGTTTTTAAACTTGCAAATGCTATTGGTATGACTATTATTACTGATGTTATTGATGATCAGTCACTTGAACATCTATTCCGGATGATTGCTGAGAATTTTATCAGGATATGAAATCCCTTTATATAGTAAAATGTCTTACTTGTCTATTAATAAACAGATTAGAGGCTGGTTTTAAATTGACAACTCACATCCTGTAAATCTTTAAACCACTTTTTCTTCTAGTAACAATTTTTTTTTCAAGATTTGAAGCAAAATGTGAATCTTGCAAATACAAAGACTATGTGTGGCAACAAATTTCTCTCAAAGGAAAATAATATAGTGCAAAAAAGTTATTGAGATGTCATAATTCCTTTGTATCTTATCAATCAATTATATCCACAAGTGTCTTAGTTACAAGATTTTTGGAGAGTAATTTCTACAAAGCTAAAATCCACATATCTGAAAATACCCTTTATGGTAGATTTAAATAGTATAATGGGTTTTGCAGCTAAAGATAAGTAACAAAATGCAAAAACTAGGTATGCAACATAAATGTAAATATCTTTTATGCTCATGGTTTACAACTTTTATTACTCTATAGCTAATGGATTCAAGAACATTTTGAAAGAGATGCTTTGCAATGTATTTAGACATTGCTTGAAGTCAAACAAGTTGATTTTATTGACTACAACACAAGCTTTTACTTAATTTGTTTCTATTTTAAATAAAGAAAAGGTCACCAGGTTTGAGTTTTCTCTTTTTGTCTCTCTTGTTTATAATTAAGTTAGTGACCGGTGTATTAATGCTATAAAAAAAACTTACAGTAATATAAATAAGCTATGTGTTTACACACTATTTTAGAATTACACTGAAATAGAAATATTGAGAATTTTTTTTCCAAAATGTACTAAAAGAAAAAAACTAAATAAATAATTGCTCTATGACTCAACTTGTAAATGTTATTAGTTACAATATTGAGCTATAACTTAGATCTGGATGGCTGATGTCTCAAGGGTAATAAGTTGCTTATTTGTTGCAGCTCACTGGCTAAAAATTAATTTTTAAATTAGAGCTGCCACCCAAGAAAATAAATAAACTATAGAAATGGAACTATTGAAAAGTTGACCAACATCTTTAATCATAGAAAAGACATAGAGGTAAAGATAGTAGTTAGGATCTTGATATAATAAAGTTTAAGGTGATGTTAGAGGCATGGTAATGCACATCCAAGAAATAACACTATTAAGAAACTTAAGTATAATTGATTAGAACAAATGCTAAAGAGCTATTTATAATACCCAGATCTTTATTGTCTTTTAGTGTAGATTCCCCTCCCATGACTCCTAAAGAATATCCATGCATCTCTATGTCACACCCTAAATGCTACATTAATCAAAACATACCTTTGAATGCTTCTAAGGTTTGGATAGCATAGCTATTCTGCCCTACCACCACCTAGAATGCAATGCCATTGCATATTACTTTTTTAGGTCTTGCCCAAGCCTATACTTTTCTATTAATGCTCCCATATTCATCCTTTATGGCAGTAAGTGAATTCTATCCTTGCTACATCTTTAGCACTCCACTGAAATTCCAATTCCAACAATCCTCAACAATAATTGAACCTTCAATGTCAACCCACTAGCACTTCCTAAAACCTTCTTTATCACTTATGAAGTAAGAGATCTCTATACTTGTTCCTCTATAAAAATCTCTTGCTCCGTCCCAAATTCCTTTCATTTTAGAACCCTTGTTGTTGGCTTCCCCTACTCTTGTCTTTGCCACCTACTTAGTAGGTGACTCCATCTCCTACACTTGATTCTTGGTTGTCTTCCAAAGTTTTTGCATCCTCTCAGATGTCTTCATCCTTGCCTTTTAGCTTGCTGATGGTGTCCTCTAAATCATCACTCAGGTCTAACTCCTCTTTGACAAACTCCTCAAATTCCTATTTAGACTCCTTTTCACCTATTGCATCCTTCCATGCCTCTTGGTAAGTTTTATATCCTTTGGCACTAAGGAACATTGTACCTATTTCTCGAGCTTCGAGATCCTCTACTGTTGTTGCAAGTCTTTGCTTGCAACTCTTTCAAGGATCTAGATAACTTGACTTAGCTTCCTTGCATTTATAGTTGTCCAATGCTGCCATGTCATGAGCTCCTGTAATGCACAGCTCTCCTCCAAAATCTAATTATTCTTTTGAAACTTTGCTAGTGCATTCTTATATCAGGTGTTGAATTCCACAATCTGCTATTCAAATTCCAATCCTTGCTATTAGTGTGCCTTCACCAAATGCTACACAACCTCCAATAACTTCTGTTTCTCATCACAAAGTTGTTATACATCAATGACCTGTTGCATAGTCTCTCTACTGGCTAGCTCCATTAGCTCCCCTTGCATCTCTTGGATCATAAAGAGATCTCCTCTTGCAACCAAACTTGAGTCACCATAAGTTGGGTTTTATATACCCACATATCTTCTTAATATCCCTAGATTGCCAGTTGAGGATGGAATGCCTTTGTCTCCAAGTATTCCTACAAAATTCACTAGAGTCACTTGCAAAAGATAGATCCTTGGCCCTTTGAATGTTATAACTATATAGTGGAGCCACTAATCCACAAGCCAACTCCAATCCAACTTGATCCCAACCTCCAACAACCACTCAATCACACTCACTAACTCTAGTGGTAGATCCTCATAGCTAAGGCTTGATTTGGTGTTGTCTATATGCCTAATCTGTTAATTGTGTTGTCTTTGGAGCCATGACTCTATTCTTCATTGTATATATAGTGAGCTTACAGCAAGATTTGAAGAGGGTTATCACTTCTTCAACCTATAGTCAATTAGGCTATATGATCTTTATACTTGAGATTTCTCACTATGTGATAAACATTTTTCATTTAATGAATCACACCTACTTCAAAGCAATATTGTTCTTGAGTGTAGATTTAGTCATTCATGCTTGGGGCAATTACCAGGATCTGTGAAAGATGAGGGGCTTGGCACCCAAACTACCATTGACCTATGCCTCCATGTTTATCAGTGACTTCTCCTTGATCAGATTCCCCTATGTAGCTAGATTTTTCTCTAAGGATGTCATCTTGGAGCTGGCTTATACTCACTTTGATGGGGATACCAGCTGGAGGGAGGTAGTGTCTGGCTACTCCTATCCAGAGGGCATCATTGGTAGACTTTAGGGGAGTAGAAAAGTAGTGAGACATAGCATTATGCCGGTCTCCTTGCATATGGCTCTCAATCCCATGAGTGGAAGAGATGCACCAAGTGTCATGGTTATCCCCTTCATCATCCTCTCTAGTCATTAAATTCCTTTCTAGAGTTCCCAATTGGCCCTCTATCCCTCTCCACTTGATACAATCCCACCTCTGGCTGTGGGTTGCCCCACCAAAACCCTCCCACCCCATTGGGGTTGGCCGGCCATTTGCTATGTTTTTTCAAGCACTCTAGAGAGTTATCTTTTATCCAAGTTCTAGATAGCAAAGTCTCAAAAATTCCAACAAATAGTAGTAGTTGATATATCCAGAATAAAGAATACCACAAAGAGGTGTTACAAAATTTTGAAGTTATTTACAAGTTTTGAAAATGTCTATTCAATTAGTCATAGTTTTATAAACACTAATATAAAATGGAAGACTACTTGAAACAAAAGAATATAAAAAAAAATTATTAGCAAAAAGAAATACTTATATTATCCTTTC